AGAGCGTCTTCACAGAGGGAAATTAAAAAACGCCAGCTCTTACTTGGCTGCGTGTTCCCCTCTCTCTCCTGCCACTCTCTAGCTGAGCACAGTGAGCTCCGCTACAGAGCAAATTTCCTCCCCTTCTGGGACTCCAGGCATATGAGCCTCAGTGGTAGAGGATTCGTCTCCCTGAGTTCAATACTGAAGCAAGAATTCATCTTAAGACTGTAAGTCACAACACGGTAAGAAAGCCTGTGCAATTTGGAGGCAAAAAGTTCCCTTGAATCCTTGGCAGAATTTGGGAGAATCCAACCTGATTCCTAGCTGCCTCTATTTCCATTATTCTGCTGGAAAGTGTTATTAGCTGCCAGAAAGATCTGCCCTGGTTAAGGCTGTTACCTGTGGCAAGCACTGGTCATTCAAGCTGAATAGAAAGCAGTTAAATTAAATGGCCTTTTGGTTGGTGGCAGCTGGAACAAAAGAACAGAAAGGCTGGGCAGGCGCGGTGGCAAAGCTGTACGCTCGATTCCTATGTGACTGCTTAACCGAAGCTGTGCCACTGGCCACAGCAGTCAGACAGTACCACTGACCCGATTAGACAGCAACAGAATTTAAAACTCTTGTGAGAATGACTGATATTATGTGACCGAGGATTCAGTAATGCAGTTCCGTGTCTTCCATGCCCTAACTGTAACTAACAAATAGCACAAACATGCATTTCTTCTAGAAAATTAAGCAACATTCCGTTGTCTTCAGCACCATTGGTGAAAAATAGTAACTATTCAGCTGTGGCCTCTCTAACCATTTTTACTTACAGATTTCAAGTTGTAAAGTGGGATTAATATCTAAGTTTTTAATATAATTTAGGGCTTGTTAGCTAAGACATCCTAAATACAGGTCAACTGCCATTCTTTGCTGCTAAATTTAAGTTTGTTTCAAATGCAGACAGGCTGCCTGGTAGCTGCTGGATCTCCAAGAAATTTCCGTTTTACCCCCAAAGCCCCAAACCTCCGTACACCGCGGAGCGCGGGTCAGAGAAACAGGCTGCTGCGCTGAGAGCCTGCGCAGCCCCTGCTTGCCCGGTGGCCCAGGGCCGCAGCGGCCCTGCAGAGCCGGCTCCAGCGCCGCACGACCCCGCTCCCCCCGGGTTCCCCGGGGTCTCCTGGAGGTAGCTGCCTCCGTGCGTTTCCACGAGGCTAAGCGCTAGTCTTCATTCGTGCCAGGATCATTTTTTAACTGACGTTAAAGATGTGGGCTGTTCTTTGCTCTTTTGCTGGCTGAACTATTGTAATTTCTGACTGGTGGAAAGGGATATCTTGCATTTTGTATTTTGGACACTTCTGTAGAAAGTCATTTCCCTCTCGTTGACTGCATTGCCCCGCCTTTCTGAATGTACCCCGGGTTCTGTTCGTGAAAACTAATGAATGATTTAAGTAATAATAAAGTTACTCCTGTTTCCCCAATTTCTACTTCCCATGTGCAATGAACTGATGCCCTATTTGGTAAACTTGCCTTAGAGCAGCAGTAACAAGTAGGATTGGTTAAAGAGGAGGGCCAGAAGAACGGTTTTGTTCTTCACCCACTCCTGAGCATTCTGGGGATTTTATTTAACACCTCTAGAATTTTGGATTTTTATTTTGTCCCCTCTGCAAGGAAGACGAGCGTGAATGATGCTGGTGGATAGCGTGTTGGTACTCTGATCTGCCCCAGCAGCACCGAGGGAGCGCTCCTCAGTTTGGGGGCCCCGTGTGGCCCGGGGGTACCGCTCAGGCGGAGAGACTCCTCCTTCCCGCCGCGGCGGTGCGCCGGGCTCCCTGCAGCTTGTGCGGCGGCCTCTCGGCGGCGCTGACGCTGGGATTTTGGGACAACGGCAAAATTTTGGTGAGCGCGTCGTGCTCAGCAAACCCATACGTCTAAAGCGACTC